ATCCCTCGACTTCCATCCCTCCCTTCATCCATCCCCAGATCCCATCTGTGCTTCCATTCCTCCATGTATCCCTCGCTTCCATCCCTCCCTCCCCAGATCCCAGCTGTGCTTCCATCCCTCCATGTATCCCTTGCTTCCATCCTTCCATCCATCCCTTCCTTGCTGCTAGGTTGTCATCCATCCATCTAGCCCCATTCCCTTCTTCTAGCATCACCAACCATCCATCTCCATATTTCACTCAGCATCTCTCTATCTCTCTATCTATCCCTGTGCCCATCCCCATGGCATCTGGTCCTTTGCAGCCCCCAGCCCCAGGGGATCGCAGCTCCTCTGCCCATTTCTTTAGTTCTCTAAGACAATCCCCCCCCCTCCCTGAGTCTTGTGGGGGTTGGGTGCCCCCCCAGTCCCAGGCAGGGTCCCCCCTGCACCCTCCGCAGGAGCCGAGCTGGGGTGTACTGGCTGGAGGAGCTGGGTGGGGAGCAGTGGGGCGGAAACCACAGCTGGGTGGGGCAGGGGCAGCGGGAGGTCAGGGCCACACAGATTGGGGCTGTGGGGGTTGGGAGCCAGGACACCTGGGTTCTATCGGTGCCTCTGGGGTTGGGGAGTGGAGTCTATCAGATCTCCAAACCCAGCTCTGTGGGGATATTAATAACCCCAGGGTACCATGTTCCCCCCTCTTCGTCCTTGGTTAAAATCCCTCACGCACTTTGCACTGTTATACTCAGCTTTCCATGCTCCTGCCTAGAGCTGGCTGCATTGCACTGTATGTAGCAGTCCCAGTGTCATCTCTCCCTTATCCCAGTGCAGCCCAACTCCTGGTCACAGAGAGCCCCACCTGGACTTTGGGGGTCAAGCCAGGAGATGGGGAAGCTATCAAGGATCGGGGACCCTCTCTGAGCTGCCCCTCTTCTCCGCATCTGACTGTGGAAGCAGCAGGCCCTCCCACACAAGCCTGCTGGTGAGGGTCTGGGGGATAAGCGGGTGGGGGCAGAGTTAAGGGTACATGGTTTGAACTTCGGAGGGAGTGGGGTAAATAGCTGGTCTCCGTGGGGAGGGGGGCATGGTACATCTGTGGTTCTCAGAGCACTTTACAATGGGGCTTTATCGCAGACAGGGAAACTGAGGCACAACAAAGGGAAAGGAGTTCTCCCTTAAAGAATAGAACCCAGGAGTCCTGGCTCCCAGCCCCCCTGCTATAACCCACTGGACCCTACTCCCCTCCGAGAGCCAGGGAGAGAACCCAGGAGTCCTGGTGGGTGGGGTGAGTCGCGTGGTGGGGTGCCAAGGGGGCTGGCGGGCAGCGGGTGGCCAGTGGTGTGATGCCCCCCCGGGGCGGGGGCCGGCAGAGCAGTATGAATGGCCGTCTCAGTGCATTGATGTCTGGGGGCCCAACCAGCAGCCTGGGCGGGGGCTATGCGCTCCTGTGGTTTGCCAGCCCCTGCCCTGACCCCTGGGCCCGTGGGCGGCAGAGAAAGGGGCCCTTCAGCCCCCCCCTTCCTGCCTGCCCCACCTGGCCTGGGGGGCTGAGAGCCTTTCACACAGCACTGAGCCGGGGGAGGGGTGGGGGTGGCTTTCTGTCTGCCCCCCACCAGGTGTCTGTCAGTCCATCCTGGGGCCTGGGAAGAGGCAGTGTCAGCTGGAATTTATAGGTTGCTGCGGGATCCTTGTTTTGGTGACCAGCCGGTGTGGAACTGGGGCGTGCCGGGTCCCCCCGGGATGGAGCTGTGGGGTGGGGTGCGCTGGGTCCCCCCCGGGACGTGGAGCGTGTGGGGTGGGCGACGCGTCGCGCCGGGTCCCCCCCGGGATGGAGCTGTGGGGTGGGCGCGCCGGGTCCCCCCTGGAATGGAGCTGTGGGGTGGGCGCGCCGGGTC